GTATCGGATAAAACCTAAACGATACCCATCCCTATGTTTGACAGGCCAACAAGTCATTTGCACACAGTTTAAATACTGGCAAAGTGACTTTTACATGCATTTTACAAAAGTTCTTTACTTTAACAGTAAATAACTGTATTTTGGCATCTTATTAAAAAACAAATTGATGTTGTTGACCATTTTATCTATGTATTTATTTATTTTAACACAGTAAATTTGAAGAGTTCCTGGATTAGAACAATAATTGCATTTAGCATTGAAAATAACATTTTGATTAAAGAGTTTGTACTAGTGGATTAACCATTACAGAAAGATTAAACCAGTGATTTTGGTAGTTGCTAGTATTGTTAATTTAGGCACTTGTGGCACTTGTAGGAGGTTAAAAACTTACACATCCCATTGAAACATGCTACAACATATAAAACAACACTGGTTAGAAGTTCTTGAATGGTAGGCTAAAACTCCTTATTGTTAAAATCCTGCATAAACATTTCACAAGGGTAATACTGGAAGCCATATTTTTCACATTACTACAAAGCATTGTGTGTCCAATGTACGCTGTAAATTTCACTTCATGCTTGTATTAATAATTTTTTGAACAGGAAAAATAAGTTTAATGCTTGTAAGTACGGTGCTGTGAAAAAGTATTTGCCCTGCCTGAATCCTTATGTTTTTGCATATTTCTCACACTTACATGTTTGAAATCATTGCCCAGTATTACATTTTTGATGAATTGTTCAAAGGTCATCCAAGTAAATGCAAAATGCAGTTTTTAAATGATGATTTCATTTATTAAGGGTTAAAAAGTTATCCAAACCTACCTGGCCCTATATGAAAAAGTAATCACTCCCTAAACCTGGTAACTGGTTTTTCCACCCTTGACAACAAGAACTGTTATCAAGTGTTTGTGATAACTGGAATCAGTCTTTCACATTTCTGGGCAACTCTTGTGTTTTAATTCAGCTACACTCAAGGGTTTTTGAGCATGAATGGCTGTTTATGGCTATGTCAAAGGATCTCAAACTTATTTCACTCTAGACTTTGGCTAGGCCACGCCAAAACCGTCATTTCTTTTTCTTTTTTTTTTTTTTTTGAGCCATTCAGAGGTGGACTTGCTAGTGTTTCGGATTATCGTCCTGCTGCATAATCCAAATAACCTTGAGATTTAGGACATGAATTGATGGCCGCACATTCTTAGGGATTTTTTTCAGTAAACAAATTTCTCAGTCTTTAGATGATGTTCTGTTTTGTTTTGTTTTTCTGTCCTCCTGGATGAGACATTGATGTCACCACTGTTTTGGTTGGTTGTGTTTTTTTTGTTGGGGATGTATTTTTTCTGTTTATCAATTTGTGTGTTCTGTAGTAGATCTTAAGACGAAATGAGCGCCTACGTGTTTGCCAGTTAAACTATTAATTTACCACTCATTACCCAATATTGACACACTTTATAGTTTACATGTTAAATCTTTGTCGTGCAGGGTGGAGCCTTCTTCTTCTTAGAGCACGTAGCTGGTGACACCTCGACTTGGACGTACTTCTTTCAGCACGTTCTCCAGCCTTTGTGGTACTACTGCGGTGACGGATGTTGGATCATCCGGGAAACATGGAAATATGTGGAGGAAGCCGGATTCTCTGATCTCAAACTAAGACACATTGAAGCGCCACTCTTCTTCATAATAAAACCTCACATCTCGGGCTATGCTGTCAAATAAATTCAGTCTGATTGTCTTTTTAGGGAGCCCCCCACCCCCTTCCAAAACACACAGACACACACAACCAGCTTCTGAATACGCTGAGCATTAACTGCCTTTTTCCTCTCCTATCATGTGACCACCAGTAATAGAAACCACCAGTCACCTTAATACTATTTTTTTATTAGAGTGAGCCATTAGTGTTGTACAAAAAAGATGAACACTAAAAAGACAACCTTACATAGACAGCACACAACTCTAATTTTGAATCCAGCTAAAGTGACAAATACATTGTGGTGTTTCGTCCTCCATTCCTCATTCCCAAATTGCTTGCCGGGAAAAAAATTGTCTTAGTGTTTGTGAGCTATGGGGATTGATTTGTACCTTTTGTGATTAAAATCAGATAAAATGTATATTTTTTGCTGTTATTTAGGTAACTGTGTCAAAACAGCAGCAATTAAAAGTCTTTATCCCACTGAGTTTGTTTTCTTTCAAAGATTGGAGGAACTTGGTGTTGCTTTCACTCTCATGTAGGCTGCACTGCATTTCCAGCACCTCCTGGTGTCAATGAGAGGCGTTGGTCACGTGTTAAAGATTATAATCTTTTGAGCTTCTTAAGTCGTTCATCTTCAGGTGCCACAGCAAAGTTTCAGGTAAGCTCGGTGAGAAATGAAGGTTTGTCTAATGAAATTATGCAGACTGCTTTGTTCAGCCTTGAGTCTGCCCTTGCACGCAATGCAGGTCATAGGGCTGCGTGGCATGTACAAACGCCTTTTTCCCTTGCTCGCCTACAATGTGACATTTTCATACAACGACAAAATGCACAGAGTCAAAAGGGAGCTTTTCCGAAACATGGCCAAATTTGCAGATACCGATGGCACCCTCCGCCTGCTGGAGATCGGGTGCGGCAGCGGAGCTAACTTCAAGTTTTACCCTCACGGCTGCACGGTGACCTGCACTGACCCCAACCCGCACTTCGAGAAGTACCTGCGGATGAGCATGGACGCAAACCAGCATCTGACTTACGACAAGTTTATGTGCGTCTCCGGGGAGGACATGCGGGGAGTACGGGACGGCTCTGCGGACGTTGTTGTCTGCACCTTAGTCCTGTGCTCTGTCAGCAATGTGCAGCAGGTCCTGCAGGAGGCCCGGCGCGTTCTCAGAACAGTAAGTAACGTCTCGGTGCTGCCTTCAGGCTCAGTAGGATTTATTTTATTTGCTGCTAACGCGCATGAATGGCATTGTAGTCGGTTACATGAGGACGGCTAGTAAATTCATTATGTGGCATTAAACACACTCGGTGTGTTATTACCACCATTTCCCGGCTTCTTGTAGAGCAGTGGACAACATATCCAATTTAACTGAGTCTTATTTACATAGCGTTACATCAGAACAACAACCAACTCTCAACATGCTTTACATCAGATGAGCCCCAGGCACTTGGCAACAGTGAGAAGGAAAAACTCCCTTTTAACAGGAGGAAACCTCTGGCAAAACCAGGCTCAGGGAGGAACAGCCATCTGCCACAACGGGTTGGGGTCATTTTAACCCAGAAATAATCTTATGCAATGAATCTGGTTAAAATATATCACCGGCTGCTTAAAAAGTATTTGGCCCCAACTTCCGCCAATATGAAAAGCTAGGGCTAGAGACTGGGTAAATATCTGTAGCTCTAGAAGCCCTTCTTCCAGAAGTACTCAACATGTAGTATAGTCAGTGGCATCTCAAGTGATGAAATGAAATGAAGCCATTCTACAAAGTATTAGACTGGTTTCTCTGTGAAGTATCTACTTATGCAGATTTTGCATCATCTGTGGTTGACCCACTGAAGGTGATATTTTACCTGAACCTCACACGTCTTGCATGGCATTTGAACAACTCTGTTAAATATTTTTAAGTTAAAATATGCAAAAGACCGCACTTTTAAAGTAGACTTCTTTTTCCCTTTATGCTTGTCAAGAATATTTTTTACTGTTAGCAAATCCTAAAATATCTGATAGATGTATGACTCCAATGGAGGAGTCCAATGGTTATACTGGAATCGCCACACCCCTTCTTTGTCACACTTCATCTAGTTTGAACCAGTATCAGCCAGAAAGTCAGCCCCAGTGTATGTATAACCAGCATTACACAACCACACATGAACACAATGTAATCTTTTTTGCTGACTGTGTTTCAGGGTGGCGCCTTCTACTTTTTGGAACATGTTGTCTCAGATTCTTCATCCTGGACATACTTTTTGCAGTATGTGTTTGAGCCTCTCTGGTGCTTTCTCGGGGATGGATGCATGATTACCAGAGCAACATGGAAAGATATAGAGGTAGCTGGTTTTTCCGAGCTTAACTTGAGACACATTGATGCTCCAGATGTCAGTTTGATGATCAGGCCACACATCATGGGATATTGTATTAAATGACGGCATGGTGGACTGTGGAGTTTATATTAAAACATTCAGGTTATACAGTGACATACATCCTAAAGCAACACTTGTAATGGCCTGTCCAGAGTTCACATATGAATTTCAAACTACTAGTTGAGGTCCAAGTTCAGGCTGGAGGTTTATTTTGAAAGGCAGCACATCTGAGTGCACACAAGTTTAAAATTCTGAAAAAACACCTGAAATTATTTTCATTCATCCCTGTAATTATAACAGATCTGCTTACATTTTTATTGCAATACATTAGCCACACTACATAAATTGAGTGAAAATATATTTATTTACACAATCAGCAACATTTCATTTACTGTTTTGTTCTCCTTTCCCTTCCCTCCCATGATGTATATAATAAATATTACCTGGACACTGTGCTTTTTTTCCCTGATTGTCTAAGGAACGGCCATAAAACACCCAAACAAACCACACTTAATTTTGTTTGTTTCCTTTCTCTCTTACCTTTTATATTGCATTGCACAAATATAAGGAATGACAATTGTAACATCTCCGTATAGGGAAATGAGGGGAAATGCTGGTTCATAAAATAAACAAAATATGTCTGTGTAGTAATTATATAGTCAAATTTCTGCAGATGTTGTTTAAGAAAAAAAAAATCCAACAGCAAAGTTTAAAAAAAAAAAAACAAGAAAAAAAGGAAAGGATACATTTAGAAACTGAGACTCAACATTAAAGCTCACAATTTCACATCTCCCATTATTAAAAATGTACACAACTATAAATGTTATAGCATTAGCATTTTTTAAAAACAGCAGGTGGAAAAATGGCCAATTTGTATTTTTTTCCCGAGTAAATGTCACTGCTATAAGTCACTTTTTTTTATATATCAAACAGAGTAAAAAAACAAAACAAAAAACGAAACCCTGTAGAATCTCAGCCTGAAATGAAGTGTTCCCAGAAACCCCATCACGTCCAAATGGCTGAGGTGCACCACTGTCACACTACGTCCCAATCCATGAACATTATTCACACAGGTTAACCTGTTTTAACACAATAAAGATCTTTTAATGTTTTGAGTTCTTCAATCAGAGTCTTGTTTTGGTTCTCGAGAACAGCTACGCGGTTTTCCAGGCATTTAACATATTCCTTTTTCTTCCGTCGACATTCACGGGCTGCCTCTCTGAAAACAGGAAAAAAAAGTATTTCACAATGTGCACTATAAACTTATTGATACGGTGATAGAGGATTTTGTCCAATCCCTACCTCCCCAACTATAACTATAACCATAAAATGAATGTACACAAAGTAAAAGCACCTGGGGCATTTTCACACCTATAGATTGTTTTTTCGGGTCCAAATCAGTTGATGATTTTGTAAACTTGTAGCTTTTTCATACAACTTGTTAAAGCTTCCCCATCCAGGCGGAATATGAGACCTTGTTTTACTCACAAATACACTGTGGATTTACCTGTTTTTTGCGAGCCTAATTTCTCTTTTCATTGTTGGATCATCAGTTTTAGTCTGGGACAGTCCCACAGGAGACGTCATAACTACAGTCTGAGGCAAGGAAGTGGATGTGGGTGCTGTGCGGATCTGGTACGTCTGCACTTCTCCTCCTGCACCTGTGTGGAACAATAGTCAAAGAATTACAACTGGAAAAACAAGAGTTTTGCATGCAGGCATGAGTTAAGATGCTTGATCAGTAATTACTTCTCAGTTGACCAGAACTATGTACAGTGGTATAGTCCAACAAGACATATGTTACTTCACTTGGCACACACGAGGAATTCTTGTGTTCACCTGAAATTTGAATTATTACTGCTCGGGTTTGTTGGCCTTTTTTCTACCCCTCTTATTTCAAAAGATTTCAAACCTATGTGACTCAACTAGCAGTTTGGGTTTGTTTTTCAAATAAACAATAATTAGACTGAAAAATAAAAAGACATCTTGTTGGAAGTAAGATGGTTCTTATAAAGAACCTTACAAGCTGTATTTGGCAAGTTACTACACACATACCACTGAGCAGATAAAATCTAAGAATGTAAAGATTTTCAGACACAAGGCCACTACACAATATGCTGCATGGTAGGTAAGTATTTAGTGTAGTATGTGTATTTTTCCATATTCTACTGGTCCGTGGTATGTACTACAGGATGTTGGAGTAAGCTCCAGGAAGACTTGTGACTGGATTTACTTTTTTGATTGCCAATCCTACATTGTTCTTGTAGTCAGAACCCCTTGATAAGGCACCGTCATCTGACTGGAACATGTTATGAGAGAGCATAATTTAGCTGAACACATTTAAGCTCACAAAAAAGTAATCAGGAAAAAACTGCTTGAAAACTCTGGCAAATTTTATTGACTCACCTTGTACAACAACCTGATTGCTAGGCACCAGTATCTGCTGTCCATCAGGTGTCTGGGCATACTGAAGGATGGTGGTGCTTGACTGGGCTCCACCAGAGTTGGCCATGGTGACAGCCTGAAGTCCCTGAATGCCTTCGGACCCTGGAGATGCCAGCTGGATTGTGCCATTTGCAGCTATGGTAACTAGAAAAAAATTACACAAACAGTATTAGAAGCTGGTAAAGCAAAAGTAAAAATTACATTTTTTGTGAGTAGCTCAAGTACTACAAAAATTCTAACTTTCAGTATAGCGCTCCATGTATATAGAGCTCTTTTCCCTATATATATTTTACATTTCAAGGCAATTCTTAATTTTGCAATTCTTAATTTCGCAAGTCAGCGAGAAACATTTTGTAGGTTCTCCTTTCAAGTATAACCGAAGGGAAAAGCTCTTACTGTACTGGCCGCTGCTGGTCTGGTAGATTGGTGTGGTTGGTACTGTAACACCCGTAACTCCTGTGGATGTGGGACTGCTGTCCCTTCCCTCAATGTGTGCCACTTCCTCTGCTGAAAGGTCATTCAGGATTTTTCTATAATGTGAAAAAATGACAGTTCCTGAATTGTTGTTTATTATACAAGAACTGGGTTTTCAGTTTCTTTTTGTTTGTTTGTTTTCCTTACCGATATGAAGGCCGCCTCGCCAGTATTTCTCTGGTTTTTTGAGTTGCTGCTCCACTGTCTGATGAATCCTGCGAGTCTTCACTGTCTGTACCCAGGGCCTTGAAAGTAGGTGGTCAATTATGATATAAAAACAATTTAAGCAAAAGGTCCATTTGAAAATAAAATAAATACAGAGCTGAGAAAAGCAGCCGGTCTTACCTGTGTATTTTGCCCCTGAGGGGACTGAATGACTGATGACTGTGCAGACTGGATCACACCCTGAACCTGAAACTGACCACCAGGCAGCTGCACAACAGCTACAGGAGAACCACCCAGTGACATCTGGAAAAAAAACACAGAAAAGTTCTAAATGTCAAAAAACTGTATGTTTGACATAGTAGCTTGGTGTCAGTGAGTGTGTGTGTGTGTGTGTGTGTGTGTGTGTGTGTGTGTGTGTGTGTGTGTATACACACAAGTGTGCTCCGAACTTTTGAGAACAACAGAAATATTAATAAGGATATAAGGAAATTTTCACTCAAATTTACACACAACATACTTTTTATTTTTGCCATATTTAGCCACGAAGCTTCCTGTGGCACGCCGGTGTAGTTTCAGTAGAGGTAAATTCGTCTTTAATTGTTCACAAAAGCTTTTCCCCTCCCTTTTTTAAAAGACATTCAGTAGCAAGGGCAATATCCAATTAGTATGACTAAAAATAACAAACTATAAAAGGATATCTTAAGAAAAATTATCTTTAAAATTATTATTTATAAACCTGACAAGCTGATAACAATATGATTCCACATAGTTGCTTTTTGTCACATGTAAGTCTTCATTTATCCTCATTTGGACACCATGTACTTTAAGTGGATAGTTCATAGATATTGTGACCTCAATAGTACTACAGATATGAATTGAAACAGCTTTATGAAATAAGAAGCAAGATTAAGCCAAGCAGACTTACTACACTACAACCTAGAATGTATTTGGTTATTTCGTTTCAATTTTTCTTTAATCCATTTTAAGCAAACAAGTTTAAGGTGTGTGACAGCAAGAGTTGAAAACAAAAAACTTCATGAATGAACCTAAACATGAAGCTGTAACAAAAGGTCAGATATGCGCTTTCAGCCTGGCATTCATAAGTGGCCTTGTATTATCAGCAGTGCGAGGGCAGCTGTAGTATAGCAGTGATACTTCTTAATGCATTTTGAATCTATTAGTTACCTGGTGGCCTATCTGTGAGAACTGAGAGGTTGTGATGGTAGTGGGAATGGTTGCAGTCTGTGACTCAATGCCATTGCTGACCTGCTGTACTTCTTCCATAGTAACTGGGAAGAAATAAGTCATTACCGTTTCATAGTGGCGCTAGTGTTAACAACAACTTTCTGTGGCGGGGTGGTACGCCTGTGACATGTTGTAACCAATCCGCTGTGGCCTTCTCTGCTTCTTTTCCTCTACTACTTAACAACATTAATACAATCACTGTGAAGAATATATGAGCGGTCAAATCACAGTTTATTTAATTATTCTGCAGTTTAAAAAACATGAATTACAGCCAACTCAAAAAACAACTTCCTCTTTGGTTAGGTCGCGCTAGCCCAAATGCAACTAACGTTGCAAAGGAGTTACGAAACATGCCTAGGCCCGACAGTCAACAGTTTCAACTTTTTTTTCTTTATTCATTTATTGCTAATTTTACAATGTGCAACTTCCATCCCAAGCAAACGTTTTCGGGTGAAATAAAAGCTCCTCACTGCTAGAATGATCTAGATCACTAAGGTTACACTTGCTAGTTAACGGTAGCTAACGTACAGTAAAACGGATGTTGAGCAGTTTAAATCTTATAAATCGATTTCATAGCAACATCCGAGGCAAGTTTCTCTCCTCCGATTCAAAGGATGGACAAGCTTTTGTCTGAATGAGCAAATATGTGCAACTCTGTCACTGGCACGCAAGTTACCGCGTCAACAGACGTCAGCGATACGGGGAGCCATTAAGCTAACTACACCTTCCCTTTTCGTAAAACGGCGAGGAGTTGACGAAGTAGCAGCCGCCATTACCGCCACAGCCGAGCAGACAGCCACACGAGCACAAAATTGC